TCATGGGGATCAACCAGATGTTCCGAGTTCACCCTCACTATACATTTGGGTTTACCAGTTGACAGCTCTGTCCCCCTCTACACCCAAGTATCCAAGACATAGGGCCATAGGTCAGATGAGACAATTACAAAATCAATCATCAACCTTTGACCTAAATTAACCTGGTACCAAGGACACTTATGGACTACCCTACGCTCAAATTTGGTGTTTGTTATGGACAACCCATGCTTAGCACAAAAGTCCAATAACGGAACACCATTCAGGTTCAGATCAGGGAAACCGTTTCTCCCAATCACCCCCTTCCAAATAACTCTGTCATTGCCCACATGGACATTAAAGTTACCCAGGAGAACAAGGGAATCACCAGACGACACTACTTCCAGGACACCACCCAAAGACCCCAAAAAGGCCAGGTAATCTGAACTGATGTTTGGTGCATAAGCACAGACAACAGTCAGAACCTTCTTTCCTGCAGCATGAAGCCACGGAGAGGCAACCCTCATTGAGGTGAACTCCGACACTGGACACAGCCGGAGACTTGTGAGTATCCCCACACACAACGCCTCTCTCCCTTTAGCAGTTCTAGAGTAGGAGAGAGTCCAGCCCTTCTCCAGGAGTTGGGTTCCAGAGCCCATACAGTGAGTAGAAGTGAGCCCAACTATATCTAGCTGGTAATGTTCAGCCTCACACACAAGCTCTAGCTCCTTACCCACAAGTGAGGTTATGTTCCATGTCCCTGGAGCTAGTTTATGCTGCCAGGAATTGGCACAGCCAGGCACCCTCCCTCACCTGCTGCACAGCATACATCACACTCAACCTTGATGGTCCTCCCCACAGGTGGTACATCCATATAGATGTGGCCTCCTGATGTCCTTTCAGGCTTGGCCGCAGGAGCCAAGGCTCGACTACTAGTGCCAACTTGCTAAAATAATGATGGAATTAAACAAGAATAGTTTAACAGAGTTCACACTGTCAGAAGTTGTTGCAAAAGTCAAAACAAGCAGGAACTATAACCTTGGAGGCTTGAGATTCTTTTCTTATTTGGACCCACGAGCCAGTCAGCTACCAGAAAACATGATCAGATTATTTATAAAAGTCAGAACTAGTCAGAAAAGGAGCTTCAGAAGCCTTGGCTGCCTCATTCCCCAATTCAGAATACACAATATGAAGATCTTATGATCAAAATGAACTGTCCATATATTTTGAATTTAGTCATAATAACCTTTTATCTACAAATATAAAATATTATTTGTGATCAGTCATAACATGATTATTTTCCTTCACAGAAAACTGCTCCAGCTGTTTCAGATCTGAAGGGTTTAGCTCCTTCTGCAGATGATGCAGGATTGAGAGCAGGGTCTTAGAATCCATTTCAGAACAGTTTTCTTAGCTGAGAACACATGAACTGCAACTGAGACCAAACTTTCTAACACTGGCCAGCATATTTATCTCCAGAATGCCTTGAATGTCATGAGATTTCAATGTACCCTGCACAGATCAAAGACCCACTGAGTCAAGTGCAGCAGAGAAGAACAGAACCGAGCCTCTATGTTTTATTGTAGGTACGGGGTCCTGCTCTTTATTTTATTTTTAGTTCAGTGAAATCAGAGCTGATGAGACTTGTTGTCTAAAAGACTCAGTTTTATCTCATCTTTTCAAAAGGACATTCTCTCAGAAGCTTTGTTGCTTCTCAAAATACATTTAAATTAATTCATGTCTGACTTTTTAATAATTTGATGTTCTTTATCTTCCATTCTAAACAGTGACTGGTGTGATCTGAACCTGCTGACCRTTGACCTTACAGTTCACCTCAAGCATAATAAGAAGTTGTTCTGGCCTCTTTGGTTGTCATCTCTGTAATCTCTTCAGTTTGTCACATTCTGGGAGGTTGTCTCCGATCCTGTGGACCGTAAACATCTGAATAATCTGAGCTGCTGTAGTCACAGGGACTATTCCTGACTGTCCTAAAAGTTGCCAGAGAAGTATAATTTTGTGGGTGAAACAAAAAGTAAATAAACCAGCCAAAAGACATTTACAGGTGCTGGTCATAAAATTAGAATATCATGAAAAAGTAGATTTATTTCAGTAATTCCATTTAAAAAGTGAAACTTGTATATTATATTCATACATTACATACAAACTCATATATTTCAAATGTTTATTTAGTTTAATTTTGATGATTACAAATGACAACAAATGAAAATCTCAAATTCAGCATATCAGAAAATTAGAATATTACTGAAGACCAATAAAAACAAAGGATTTATAGAAATGTTGGCCAACTGAAAAGTATGAACATGAAAAGTATGAGCATGTACAGCACTCAGTATTTAGTTGGGGCTCCTTTGGCCTGTATTACTGCAGCAATGCGGCGTGGCATGGAGTCGATCAGTCTGTGGCACTGCTCAGGTGTTATGATAGCCCAGGTTGCTCTAATAGTGGCTTTTAGCTCTTCTGAATTGTTGGGTCTGGTGTATTGCATCTTCTTCTTCACAATACCCCATAGATTTTCTATGGGGTTAAGGTCAGGAGAGTTTGCTGGCCAATTAAGAACAGGGATACCATGGTCCTTCAACCAGGTACTGGTAGCTTTGGCACTGTGTGCAGGTGCCAAGTCCTGTTGGAAAATGAAATCTGCATCTCCAAAAAGTTGGTCAGCAGCAGGAAGCATGAAGTGCTCTAAAACTTCCTGGTATGTGGCTGCGTTGACCCTGGACCTCAGAAAACACAATGGACCAACACCAGCAGATGACATGGCACCCCAAACCATCACTGACTGTGGAAACTTTACACTGGACTTCAAGCAACGTGGATGAAGTGCCTCTCTTCTTTTCCTCCAGACTCTGGGACCTTGATTTCCAAAGGAAATGCAAAATTTACTTTCATCAGAGAACATGACTTTGGACCACTCACCAGCAGTCCAGTCCTGTTTCTCTGTAGCCCAGGCAAGACGCTTCTGACGCTGTCTGTGGTTCAAGAGTGGCTTGACACAAGGAATGCGACAGCAGAAACCCATGTCTTTCATACGTCTGTGTGTGGTGGTTCTTGAAGCACTCACTCCAGCTGCAGTCCACTCTTTGTGAATCTCCCCCACATTTTTGAATGGGTTTTGTTTCACAATCCTCTCCAGGGTGCGGTTATCTCTCGTGCTTGTACATTTTTTTCGACCACATCTTTTCCTTCCCTTCGCCTCTCTATTAATGTGCTTGGACACAGAGCTCTGTGAACAGCCAGCCTCTTTAGCRATGACCTTTTGTGTCTTGCCCTCCTTGTGCAAGGTGTCGATGGTCGTCTTTTGGACAACTGTCAAGTCAGCAGTCTTCCCCATGATTGTGTAGCCTATAGAACTAGACTGAAAGACCATTTAAAGGCCTTTGCAGGTGGTTTGAGTTAATTAGCTGATTAGAGTGTGGTACCAGGTGCCATCCATTTTGAACCTTTTCACAAGATTCTAATTTTCTGATATGCTGAATTTGAGATTTTCATTTGTTGTCATTTGTAATCATCAAAATTAAACAAAATAAACATTTGAAATATATGAGTTTGTATGTAATGTATGAATATAATATACAAGTTTCACTTTTTAAATGGAATTACTGAAATAAATCTACTTTTTCATGATATTCTAATTTTATGAACAGCACCTGTAGAACTACAAATGGTTTTCAATTCTTGTTTTGTTTAGTGTCACAGTTGGAGTCCTCCTCCTTTGTTCCAGTTTGGATCTGCAAAAGTGACCCAAAAGAGGATTGCAAGTCATTCTAGTTATTTAAAAAATGTACATGAACATCCTGCCAAAACTGGTGATCAGTCAGAGGCAGCTTTGCATGTGAGTGATTCATTAGCAGTGTGGATGTGGTGGAGCGAGTGCCTCTCACTTTGACTGCAGCTTGGAGTAACTTTGGGAAAGGACCCACAGCTGCACACATTGCTTGTTGGAAAGAACAATAAATGCTTTCTCTTCAGTCTCCAACACCAAAAAAAAAAAGTCAGTTTGTCACTAGCTTCCCTTTTCGAAGAAAAAAGTTGCAATAGATGTCTGAAAGCTACGTAGGCAACAATGGGCAAGAGTTGTCTTCCTGAACCCCTTCAGACTAAGAAACAAGAAACTGAGTGGTGGCAGAGACCTCGGAGCTGGAGAATGTTATGCAGCAGCTTGAGTGCAAAGGATCATCCAGACTGGGTAACAAAACATATTCATGCTGTCTGGAGGATTGGGTTTGTTTTCTGTTAGAAAGGTGGAAGAAAAAAAAAAGCCCTCCTACTCCAAGGAATGCTGACTTGGCAGCTTCCTGGCTTACAAAACCCAGAAAAGTAATGATGCCTGCTGGGTTCATGACCGGTCAGATCCTAATGGAAAGATGTTGGTTTTTGGTGGCTGAGAACCCAAAGATGTAGGCAGGTTTCAATAAAAAATATATTTTACGCAATAAAAGCAAAACCAGGAGGTGCAGGAGCTGAAACAGGACTGACCAGGGATCTGACAGAGGCTGAGGAGAAACAAGAAGCTGCTCTCTGCTGGGAGGTGATACCTGAGTGAGGACCCCTGAGAGGAGCTGAGGAGCAGCAGGTGTGATGAACAGTCACTGAAACAAACAGAAAAAAACACAAAACTTATTGTGAATGATAAATTAAGGTAAATACAAAACACAAAGTATAAGACACAAAAACATTCTGTAAACTGAGAAAGTTACAGGCTTATCAGACGAATCWTTTACTTAATGTACATTTTATACTAAAATACATATTATATTTAAACTTGCATTCAAACATCATTCAAATACACCTAAAATAATAAGTGAAGTATGTCAAAATTATGCCTTTAGTATAATTTTTAAATAGATTATTATAAAAATACACCATGAATGTCTGTAACAACAACTCTGAAATAAGTACACTTTAATAATTGTAAATATATTGCACTGGAAGTTGTTTTTTTCCCTAAGTGTATAAG